GCAATAATACCGTTTATTCAAATATCCATTCAGACTGGCTCGGTTACTACTTTGTCGACTGCACTGTATGTTGTCTTGTCCTGTATATTACACTTGTGTAGTCTTGTGTTGTTTCTGTCCTTTTATTTTTGTGCACCTTGATCCTTGAGGATAATGTTTCATTTCACTGCATACTGTGTATGTGGCTGAAATGACAAACAAACTTGCTTGACTTGACAATATGCATGAAATATGGTGTCCCAGGCAGGAAACCTCTCCTGCCGTAAATCCTCCAAAGAGTTGATTAGCCTTCTTCTAAAGAAATGAGGCAATGATAGTGGTCATGCATTAAATGTTTATATGTCATTAAAGGACACACAATTCATAAAAATCAAGATGACCATATGCAGTGATTAAATTCCAGAATTTACCACTTGACCAAACTGTGAACCCCTCAATGCTGTGTCAATGTAATTTACAAATTAAAACATTAAAACAATTTGACATGTAACCAAGCATACCATAAATATATATATGCTACCCCAAAATACATTATTCTCTAACTTGTAAATTGCAAAGTTCTAGAGCGACAACTTATGTGGTCGTTATAGTTGTGAAGCCCGTCTTTCCACTCTTGGTACCTATCGATGATGTAGCACTGAGGACACTTCCACTGGTACATTGAAATACCTGCAAAAAATATTTCATTGTGAAATCACCACATATCTTTTATTCCATGTTAAGTGTTACTACACTGTTAGTCACTGAAATGCTCACTGTCTGTGCTGTGTTTGTAATCTGTACAGCATCTTCTAGCGTGGGGTTACCTGGGCACAACTGGCACATTGTTTCCAGGGGCATAAACTTTGTTGAGTAAGCAGTTTTATTCATCTGTACTACATCTTTTTGCAAGGTGGATGGAATGTTTTTTCTTTGTAAATGTACTGGACACTGTGCTTCACAGCATTAATGTCTGTATATATGGAACCTCTGAAATGTTGTTTCTGTGTTTGAAACAGAAACAAATTTTGCAATGCAATTATGGGGACAGGAAGTTCTGTGCTTAGTGCGTGCACAATGCCAGGTGTTGTTTTGGATATTGTAGGTTACAAATATTCTCCAGTTTCAGGCTCATGAATGGACAGGCAAATCTGTGATGATGATCTGCCTAAATCAAGCAACACACAAAGTGGCACATTAGCCCTCTGGGCAGCTTGCTGTGTCTTTACACAGACGGCAACCCTGGACTCCCCTCAAAAAATAGGCACCATTTCCATTAGAACAGCTTAATTCAGAGCCACCTATCTTTACAATAATCTAGTGACTGGATATGTTCACACATGCTGTGGCTTAACCCACTCCACTGAGCCAGCGAATGATATTGCAGATATTCCTCTAACTGACACATGATGTCATGGCCTTTTCCCCAGGCTGATACATGATGTCATGGCCTTTTCCCCAGGCTGACACATGATGTCATGGCCTTTTCCCCAGGCTGACACATGATGTCATGGCCTTTCCCCAGGCTTTTCTCTGTACATGTAATAGCACTGAAAATCCATGGCCACATTTTCTGCACAGCAAATACGCCATTTTTTTCATCAACACACACACACTTTAAAAGAGATGTTTGTGTAATGTATTTTGACACAGGCTTCCTTAATATGTGTGTGGGCAGGTTTGTCCTGTATAAAGAAAGACTGCAATGAAGGCATTTCACTGTCTTCAGATGTGCTTCAGTTCTAGATGGTAAAGGTAGGAGGGAGTATGAATGTTCAAGCATAATAGGAGAACCTGTAGATGGCAGCTGAATCAAAACCGTAGAAGGTGCAGAGTTCATTGATACTACAACAGTACTACTGTAGATGCAGGGACCATGGGTGTAACATCTGTAGTAGAAGGTGTAGAGGCCATGGGTGTAACATCTGTAGTAG